AATGTATTTTAAAATTTTTGTTAACACAGAGTTCACGTACACTATTCCCATTTAGGATGCAAAATGAAAAAGAAAGTTACAGTCTATATATTGGAGTAACTTTTCGATTATCAATAAACCGATTCAACGTCGCGATTAGTTGTCCCCTCTCTTTTACACCAGATAATATTAACGATCGATTCATATACAAATTCATGACATATCATATTGTTTCAAGTTATTATCTGACATAGAGTCCACATTACGCAGAATAAAATAAGTTATACGATTTGTCTATTTTTCATTAAAATATTATGATACAAATTACAATTATTTATAGTTTAGAGTCTAAGAGCCGTTAGTTAAAACTATAAAATCTTTGTTAACTAACTTCAGTCGTGAACTAAGAAGTGCATGTATATTTAGATATAATTTTTATAATCTTCTTACACACTCGTCTCATACGTTGTGTTGATATGAGGATCATTTACGAAATATAAAGGTGTGCTTCACGACCGATCGTAGTATCAATCCGTTGCTATTGCAATTTTATATTCTGCATTATATGTATAACATCATTTCGTGGTATCCATTTGGTCATTAAAACCGAAAGGTTGTTTAACAATTGGTCAATAAAATTGTTTCATCGAATTTTCGCTTGTCTAAATATAATTGTAAGATTTTATATTTGGTATTGGTATGCTAACGACCCTTAACCCTTCGATAATATCACAGATGAATGAGTTTCCGTGTTGTGCGTTACGCATCGCTACCTAAGGTTCCTAACAAGTGCGTTAATCCTTTCGATTTTCTCGCTCAACATTCGCCTTTCCGAATCAAGAGCTGTTCTCGCGGATAAAAGTTCGTATATCCTCCGCTCTAGATGAATGGTCTCGGAACGTAAGTTGTTCGATTGTGCCACCAATTTTGATGTTTCGCTCGTCAAAATTTTCTTTTCCAATGCTTTTTCTGAAATGAGAAGAAAAAAAAAGAAAAAAATAAAAGATTGTATAACAATCAATGGGTTTGACATTTAATGGTTTTCTATTAAAGCGAAATGATTTCATACCTTTGGAATATTCGCTATAAGCAAGGATGATGTCCTCGATGCCAGTCCATTTAGGTCTTTCTTTCTTTCCATCCACGTAATCTACATCCATGTTCTCATCCATGATCTTCATATCCATAATCTTGCAATGTTGTTTCACCCCATTTTCACCGGGCATAGGCAAAGAGGGATAACCCATCGAGACAATGTTTGGAACCAAAGGTGGTAGAGGCGGTGGTCGTTCTGGAATTTGTTTCACTTTTACTCTATCCAAAAGCCTCATCTTTTGCGGCGGTTTAGGCAATGTTGGTGGATTCTTCGAATACGCCCTGGCAATTCTTTCGCAATACGCAGTCACGGAATTGGAACATTTCCGTTTCTTACGATCTTGCAGAACGTATTGCCACGTTACTTCTGCCTCTGTATAATTAAATGAATTTAATTATCGAATCATTTTTCGATCGATCAAGCGTATAAATATACTTTTTAATATTTACCATCTCTCCTGTTCGGAGGCATTATATCAAGGCCTATAGTCCTGAGAAAACCAACTTTCGGCTCGAAATCTGGTGTATGGAGTAATACGTCCGGATGTTCCCGCGGTATTGGTAATACAGATTCTACCACTTGTTCCGTCTCCAAAGGTACTTCCGGTGGATCTGGATTTAACCTGTACCTCTTCTCCACTTTACAAAGCTCTATTTCTATATGGACGGAGCGAGAAAGAGAGAGAGAGAGAAAGAGAGAGAAGGCAGATGCATAAGTGTTAACGTGTGGACGAATGTAATGGGGGGGGGAGAAAAGTTAAAAAAAAAAAAAAAAAAAAAAAAAAAAAAAAAAAAAAAAAAAAAAAAAAAAAAAAAAAAA